AAAATTTTTTTGATGAAATATGGTGTGTTTTTTTTGTTGAATTGATAATGATTCAATTGGTAGAGGGTTTACGTACATCAAATTATCATAGACTTATCAATCCAAGAATTGTGTTGTTCAGATAATCCGAGCCGTTTGACAAATAACTTATAGTTGTATTTTTCTTAAACACCTTTTCCACCAAGTATGCCTCGGGGTTGGTGGTTTTCAATAGCTCCAATTCATAAAAGGATCCTTTGATCGGTTTGCCCTCCATATCTTCAAGTTTGTATGTTATGGGATTCGTTAAATTCACTTCGAATATTCTGAATTTGCTGTATATCCCTTCTCAAAAACCCCCTTATATTTTATGCTTATTTGTACAATATCACCAACTTTTTGAATAGTTCCGTAAAGAAATTTGCTGTATATCCCTTCTCAAAAACCCCCTTATATTTTATACTTATTCGTACAATATCACCAACTTGATATTCAGCTTTTGGTGCTATCTTCATGTGACTATAAGCTTGCAGTTTCGTAAAAGATGTCACCTCAGAGCTCAGAGGGTTTCATACCAATTGTTCGATGCAGAAAATTGATTCCATATTTCGCCATATGTGCCAAAGTGGTTGTTATAGAATGGGCGTGTACACCTTAGTAGTACTTTTAACTCAAACCATGTTTATAATGATCCTTTTATACATAAATAATGATTGACGACATAATTCGATCGAAAAATCAACTGGAATGTTTTATTTTTGGACATAAATAATAGTACCTTCTGAAAACAGACCATCTTATGACGTAAAAACCTCATCTCGCCATAGTTATAAGAAAATACCAAACGCCCGACGGAGACTGAGGCAACTGATATATTAATTCTTTCAACTGTGATCTCGCGTTAATTCACTCTGTCAGAAATCATGTATCATTCATCTCTGTCTGGAATAGTCTTGTTTCAGTATTAGGGTATTGACGTCACATCATCGCCTCGTTTTCAGAGGTCCGAAAAATCGGGGATTTCAATAATTTTTAATGAAACGTAGGGAGCTCAGAGCAAGAAACGGTTTGCGGTGGTGAGCTAGTTTGGGTGAGTTCTATCGAATTATGAAATAATTTTTTTTGTGATATAACCCCATTCTTTACCGAGGTCACTGCATATTTCTTGGTGAATATATTCAGTCCTTTTCAATACTCTTTTCATAGCAAGTGTTACTTCTGAACCGGTTTTATATTTTATCGGCTCGGTCCAGATATATTTAGAATAGCAATCAATGGTGAATAATGTGTAGCGGTTACCACTATATTCTCTTTAAAAAACGTTTGCATCTCAGCTGAATCTACTTGCCACAAGTCTGCGAAACCTTTTATTATAGTTCTCCTATGAAAGTTTCGTCTGGCAGGTTTATGCAGCTCATTAACTATCTGCCTTTTGGTCACACTTATCTCTATTACAGTGTTATTCAAACATATTGAAACACTTCTGAATGCTTGTGATATCCTTGATTAACGTTGATATACTAATAGGTCAGCATATCCCTCTTATGCCCCGAAGACAAATTAAAATTAATGAACAAAACCTTCACGTAATTCCTCAGTTATTGACATTATTTTATTATCGGTGCCCAGTGCGTGACCGGCTGATTTTGAACTCCACAATAGCCGATGGCGTTCTACTAAGTCTGTAGCTTTATTTCAATAGAAGTACTCTTTGCGACGTTTACTAACACTCTTTCTGGATGTTATCGATTGTATTATTCCTTCACCACCTTTAGCTTTTTGCTGCTTTGTGGAAAACCAATCAATGGTTTGAAAATTTGCTGATAATTTCGTTTTTGATTTCGTACTCATATTCAACCCTTCCCGTACATCGAAATTCTTTTATATGGCGCCTTTGTATTCTTGAGCAGGGCTGTGTATACGCTCTTATCTCGATCAATAATCGATCTCGGAACGTGTTTCATGAATGAATGTACCTATGTACGCTGATGAATGTAAGATAATATAGTTCAGACGTTGCTAGAAAAATTGGAAGAATTTTGCTTCTCTTATTGCTGCACAATAACTCAATTTGTCCAGCAGGAAAACGGATCTCCATGGCACCCATCATCGTGTTTTTCGTGGTGGAATCGATAGCCATATGTGGTGTCATAATTGGGACAGACTTCAAGTATCGATTGAAATGTGTGAAGAAGATGATGGTGGTGGTGGTGTATCCATCATTGTTCTATAATCGGGTTCTTCATTTCTTTTTGTACGCTTGAATAATCTTCTGTGAAACTACGTGATTTTACGAATTGTCTGGGTGTTTTCGTAGCAGCTGAAGACGCATTTCCCGACATCGGTGTGGAATAATATGTGGGTTGTCCCATTATTGACCTTAACTGTTTATTAATATTCTTCATCGTAGTAGCTGTTGTATTTAGAGTTGCTGCTGCTGATGATATAACATTCAACGGTTTCATGATCGAGTAGTTCATACACCCCTTTCGAGCGCCAATTGATTTCCCAAACGGTAATTTTTTAGGCTTTCGAACTTTTTTCTCACGTCTCCGGTTGCTTTCGGTTGCTCCAATAGGTCGCGTGCACGAAGACCGACCCTGGAGGCAAAATATTGAAACACAACCTCATTCTTCTGTGAATTATTGAAACACAACCTCACTTTTTTATTTGGTTACAGAGGAATCAAAAGGTTGAAATAGTTTTTCACAATATTTTGGCATACGAATCGTGTTTCTTGCGTTATTCATTAATTCAAGCATGCCTTCGCATTGTGCTGTTGTACAATGCACAAAAAATGCAGCAAGAGACTAGGGAATATGATTTTTCAGGTAAATAGTAATCTCACATAGTTAGCATTATGAAATGTTGTCATTCCTTATTAAAATTCCTTCTGCCTTCTGCCACTTCTGCAATACAAGCTAATGCTGCTAATAGATTGAAAATGTCTACAACACACACGATCGTCAGCATGTCAGACCAGTCCTACCGATTGATTGCATGAATCCAATCTTCTTGCATTATTGTAGAAATTTCAGGTATATTTCTATTAGCTGATCCTATGGTAGAAGGAATTCCGATGAGAAATCAGAGAAATAACCAAATTTCAAAAATGAAAACTATGTGAGTGACTATAGTAGGTACTTACTCTTGAATCATAATGTACCATCCGGATTTCTTCATCTTCCGCTGCAGTTTTTGTACATTTTACAACAGCACAATGTGATGGCATTAGCGAATTGATGAATAGCGGAAAAATACGATTCATATGCCAAAATAATTGTGGAAAACTATTTCGATCACTTGTAAACAAATATGTTTTGCCTCCAGGGTCGGTCATCTGACAGTTCTTGCACGCGACCTATGAGCTTCACAATTGAGGTTAATTTCAGAAGTCATTTCAGTCATGTTCTCATGAGATGTGCTCATAGTCGCATCTAATGGTTGGATGAATCACGCGGTGCTAATAAGATATCACGGATATATGAAGTTATCGAATCCTTTTCTGTAGCGACCCTCTGGTACTTCACTATCCTTATCGATAATTATAAATCCATATCTATCTGTCCAACTCTGCGCGCACATGTCTTGACATTGCTTGAATGCACCTTGAATGTAACATCTGAAGATACATGATCGGAAAAAATGAGGTGATGATTCATTTCATCCTGTTCGAACATAACTATGAAGTTGGAATTGTCGCGAATGAGATGTTTGGGTACTCTGGAGTCTGGAGTATGTCTGCGCCATATAAAAGCAGAAGATATTTTTATGGCGACCCATGGAAAATACGATCTAATCACATATTCTTTCTCACAAATGACATCTTCGAATATGAAAATGCTGTCAGGTTCAGCATTCGCTGGTTTTATCGGCTCCAACACCTTTCGTAGGTACTCATACTTGGGTTGGTATAACGAATTTGAGTAAAGGTGGATATTTGTGAACTGTAAACCATTTTCGTTTTAACCCAATTCGATGGTTCAATTATGAGGCCGCGAATTGTGTTAGGAAATAGTGTTCCATGCATGTCGACGTTCTGAGATGATGTTACTTCCCAACCCCACATTATCATCAAAATTGTCCACATCGAATATTTCTGCCTGCTGATAACTATCCGCATTGGAGAAGCCCGAGCCGTAGATCCCAAATCCCAATAAAAAATTGAATGAACAGGAACCGGAACCACTGAACCAGCAGGAAAGTTGCGCAGGCGCAGGACTGACATAACCTGTCTGTTGTCAGGGTGTAAATGAAAAACTGCTGCGATGAGATAGGGTAGGAATCTTCAAGACAGACCTGAACAACGACTTGGTTATTTTAAAAAATTTCGACCCTACCAAAAAAAATATATCATATTCAATAATCCTACACACAAAAAATATTTTGAGGATGTAAATGAAAAACTGCTGCGATGACATAGGGTGGAAATCATTCAAACAAGGAATGATTTTTCTATCGAAAAATTCCCCCCAACCCCTATCGAGAAAAAATATCATATTTAACCAGACACATACATTAAAAATTATTTCAAGGGTGTAAATGGGAAACTGGGTATAAATCATTGATACAGACCTGAGGAACGACTTGTTTTTTAACCCTATGTCATCCTTAAAATGATTTTGATTTTGAAGTGTTGATGGGTTGAATTTGATATAGGTATTTTTTTTCTATAGGGGTTGCGGGGATTGTTTTCATGGTCAAATGGTCAATTAGTTCGTTGGGTATGTTAAAATGATGTTTACTTTATATAATACCATATGATAATACCCTAATTTGTATTTGTAAAAAAAAACATGTCCGCCACTGGGTCTTCGTCTTCGGCAATGTTCGGAGATTTTGGCTGCTATTGAGCTGCTATCTTTGGCAACGCCTTTCACCACACAGCTTGTCAATCACAAATCACAGAAATCAGTTGAATGATCTGTGATTCTGCCGTGGCTGAATTCATAGCCTCGCTGTGTTATGCTGTCATGTGTCAATGTGTCATAAATCATATGTATTTTTCTTTTATCACTTTTGATTCTTTTGAAGTTTTGAATCATAATCGTGATTTTCTTTTAACAAGGAATTAATAATCCTTATCAGTACTTGGTACAGCTTTTAATGATCTAATCTGATACTCGACGGCTGTCCAATATCTATTTTGTATTTTCTACTTGATTGGATTCTATTGTATAGCATGCATATCCAAGAGAAATTATGTTGAAATAAGAATCTGCAGAAGATTCTATACGATGGGAGCAAACAGCAGCAAAAAATTGGCTGCAAAATGTTCATTCTTGTCCAAAGATGAGCAGTTGATTGTAAGCAATTCCTTCAAGCTTGCCAGCAAGAATTCGGAAAAAATCAAAGAAGAGGAACTCACTGTGAGATATTTATAATCATATTGTGTATTGATTGTGACTTGTACTTTTCATAGAAAATATGGGGTTCTCAAATGGATCCAAGACTTCTTCAGTACCTCAACAACTACTTGTTTGGCATTGGTGACCAAAAACAAACAACTGTAGATTTAGAGAGATTTGCTGAACTCTTTGTCTTTTGCACCAGGGGTACTGTTGATGAGAAGGTTAAAGTATTGTTGGTTTCTCTTGGAAAATCAGATAGTGAGAGTAATGATATACCATACACATTGGTAAAAGAGGTAAGTTTTCAAATTTTCCAAATTGCTCCTTCTAAGGAAGTGTACAGACTGCTGACCCAGCTGCCCACCAGTCCACAATCTTTAGTTTATTTTGGGTTGCCCACCTGTTGGCAGATTATACTCTTTGTTTAGGATGCAGAGCAGTAGACTCAGGGCCTTAGTCAGCAGAATATTTGCCTGCCCTAGAATAATCAGTAGATATGAGAAAAATCTAAAGTGCAGCAAACAGACTAACCAATTGTGAAACAAAAATCTGATGAAAAAAAAAAAAAAGAAAAATACTATTCCAGGGGCGTCATTTCAGTGAATACCAGGGGGGAGGGGTAAGAAACTCTGACAAAAATTTTGAATGGTTGAAAAATTAAATTTCTTCCAGACTGACAACTACCATCATATTATCATATTAAAAATCATAAAATGTTCCCAGTTTGTTGCAACTGATATAAAATTATCTGAAAATAGGAACAATATGAAAAGCAAGAAAAGCATATTTCTGAGACTTCTTTCTTCAGAAATTCCTTTAATTTTTATGGAACATCTTGGTACCTTGGTAGGAAAGGGAGAGCAGGTAGGTTACCCAAGTGAGTGGATATTCCTGAAAATTTTGTGAGCAAGGGATATAGGTACTGACTATTTTTTTTATTCAGCATAATAATTCAGAGAGATTCACTTGAATTTGTCCATCTTATTGAAATCAACAACTATCACTCATAATAGGGAATAGGTTAATCTTTAGTATTTTGTATTTTTTATATTTGACGAAAATTTGCAGTCTAAACCAGGTATATTTTATGTATGATAATACTTTTATATTGATGTTTCAACAATTTTGAAATATATTTTTTCAATTTTATGTACTTATATAATAGGTACTGATTGACCTAAATGACACCCATGAACTCCATGTTAGATTTGCCCATGAGACCACAGGATTGATAAGCCAATGTCTAACTAACCTTCTTGTATCTTTTTGTTATACACAAAGAATGCATTATGCATTCCACTGAATGCTCAGCAGTCTAGAGAAATAGTATAGTCTACCCACCGGTTTTAGTGGTTTTAAACAGAAAGAATTTTGTTTTCCACTGCATTGTCGGCAGTCTAGAGAAAAAGTATAGTTTGCTGACTGGTTAGCAGTCTATACACTATCTAATATAAATGGGATGCTCATCCTCTGATATGTCATCTGATAACAAAATGTTGTATGTTCCAAAGGCATGTAAAAGCATTGTATTTTATTGAACGACACCTCTGCCAATCACTATCCTGAGCATAATGATTGAAAAATGATATTCTCCTGTGCAGTGATTTGCACTAAATTTCGCAATTTGATAAGGATATAAGAATTATGCCATCCCATACCAATTGAATGGAAGATCACAAAATCCTATCTGTGCCACCTATCAAATCTGAGCTAAATACATGAGCAATTTATTTGCTGTTATTTTTCCGGACATACTTCCGTCATGTGATAATGAGTTGAAACAAAAAGCAATGTCCCCTTTGCTAATATCCAAATGTGCCGCGACTCAAACTGATCTAAGTTAGTGGCAGAGCGTCGATATATCCCAGAATATTTCGCCAATGTTGAAAGATAATATTCCATGGACCAGCGTGAAACTCAACATGTGGATTAGAATAGAGCAGTTGATCTATCCTGGAGAGAGAAAAAATGTCTTCTCCATCTGTCCTTGTCTTCAGAATTCCAATGTTAGAGAGGGGTTACAGGAGCGTTTAAATGACGGACGTTGTAACGCGCGTTGTAGCGCGTAGCGGACGTTGTAGAATAACACCAGCGTGATATGCGTCGGTCACACCACCAACGCGCGCTCAACTCGTCGCGCGTTATTCATTGTCAACGCTCAGCACCTCTAGTACGCCCGTTGGTGGACACAGCGCGCGTTCTTGTTCAACACATGGTCAGATATACGTAGCCACACGATATTCAATTTAACGCGCGTCTATCTGACGATTATACGTAACTTTCAGTATTTTTGTGATCTGGCAACAGCTGTCGGTTGAGTTGTCCGTATCGTAGGTTATCGTAGACGTCATAGACTATCGTAGACGTTGTTATCGTATGTATTGGACTTGTTTTTGATTCATTATATCAAACATGGATGTAGAAGTGTTCATAAATGAGGTCCCGTGCTTTGGGATACTTCTAATGAAGAGTACAAGGACCGGAAGTAATTAAACAATCGCACAATGTCTTCTCTCAAGCGAGGATAGAGAGTATAAAATGATCCACTTAAGAACCTTTCACTGTTTATGGGATGAACCCACCATTTACGTTTTTTCCTAGCCTGCTTTTTTTTACGTAGATCTAGGTATAAAATCAGAAATGCGGCAACATCCTGCAGACCTTCCATGACTGTCACATGTATACTCAACAAACTGTCGCTCGTAACTGCACGCTCATGTGGCCGCAAGATTTGTCGCGCGTTCCAAAATAACGTCCGTTTTAACGTGCGTTGCATAAACGCCCGTGTGGCCCCTCTCTAACATAATGGAAATTTTAAGTTGGTTATAATGGCCTTCTTCTCCAGTTCTTCTCGTTTCTCATGAAATTGATAGAAGGTGGTCAAAAAATCAAAATTTATAATTTGTTTCAATTAAATGTCAATTGAACACCGATTAATAGTGAGTGAAAAGTTGAGATAGGGATATGTAAACCTTTTTGACGAATTATGAACAGTTTCGACAGAAAAAAATCCTGAACTTGAAAAACCTCGATTTTGCACACCCTATATGTCAGTAACTTTCACTGCTAGACCCTAAGTATTATTACGTTATTCGGGTGCAGAAGCGAACACGACACTATTTATTTTCGAACTGATTTATTTGAACTATAGAAACACTAATTTATAACGAACTTAGAACTACTATTTATGTAAAACGATTTATATCACGCGGTATATAACTGTCTCTCTGACACTCGCTGCTCGACTGACTGACAGCAGTTGTTCGGCGGTCTTATATATGAGAACACATGGCAGGCTTTGGTCGAGAACGTTCTCGAATGATTTTCCGTCTCCTTCTTTTTGTTCTAGAAGCTTCTTAGAACAAAACCTCTCTCTCTAATTGTTCCATCGATTGTTTCCAGAACATTCCAGAATCTTCTATGACGTTATTTGTCACTGCGGCATATATTGAGTGTTCGGAAATATGCTGGTGTATGTAGGAATCATTGAGAGGTTCGAGAGCAATCGGGGATGCGTGATACAGGATGATCGTTGTACTCCTGCCTTCCTGCTGATGTTTCTAGAGCCCCTCCAAGGAGAATATCATTACAGTATGATACGTCGTTGAAATCAGATCTTCAGGGAGAATTCAAAAATGGAATAAAATATAGGGTGTTCCAATGGAAAAAACAGCTTTGATGTGCTGTGACCTTACGGACACCCTGTGTATTTCAAAGAAATTTTGAAATGTGAAGCTCGGTCATCACTTTAATTTGAATGCAAAACTTTTTTTTGTATCTCTCAAGACAACAGAGTTATCGAACTCTGGATTCTTAGTTGGCCACCCTGTACTTTTATTGTCGATAAAAAATTCTACCCTCTTTTACGCCGATATAATCGCATATTCCTTGAAGTGAAAATTATATCAATTATTATACTATATGAACTACTTCACTCCACTTTGAGACAACATGGATATGAACTACTTCACTCCACTTTGAGACAACATGGACTTCTCTAGTAGGTTAATATGTATTAATATTCACTGTTGATATCGAAACTTATTTTTTCTGCACCGACACAAAAGTCTTCCATTTCAATCACAATCAGCTCTTGAATTGACGTTTCTATTACTGACACAAACATAGGTATGTTGCTAGGCAACACTTTTAGTTGAACTTTAGCTCCTAGGAACTAAAAATTATGTACTAGTGGTCATCAAGAATAAACAACATTGTAACGGTTGGTTACGGCCACCAATGCTTTTTTGTCTCACACAACGATATTGTTTACCTTAATTTCATCACCGAGCCAAACCCACGTCTTTTTACTATTTTTCCGATACCTGGCACGAGCGCGTTATTTGCTATTAGAGCTGACACCTGGTCCATACCCAAATGGGTCACTGTGGTTGTATTTATTTGAAACAATTCGAACATCCTTGAAAATTGAATACACCTGATTAGTTAATGCAGGTGGACAATTCTCACCACACCGATTATTTGTTGCATTGCATACATATGGCACGGCATTGGTGGTTACTTCAAATATTTATTTTAGTTAATTCTTTCGGTTGCAGGAAAAATAGCATGTTTTATTCGGATCAAAAGTGACTTTGTTTGAACTCGCAAACTTGCTTGTCAAACAAAGTGTCACTTTTGATCCTAATAAAACAATCTACTATTGTCACAAGACACCTGAGCTTTTCTTTTACGGGTCATTATCAACTAGAGTTTCTAGGTCCTTCGCTACTATCGCGATTTTTCTATTGATTATTATCAATCATTCCATTTATTCGATAAAAGGAAAATCTCTTTTCTCCAAGTGGCATAGAGAGTGGCTTTTCTCTGATACTTAGGTAAAAAAGGTGTACTTTCTCTGCCTAGGCAGGTAAAGTTTGTTACTATGCAACGTTCCAAGTAATTTGGATGATGGAGTTTAAAAAATATATATACAAAATTGGTTCTTTTAACATTATTTGGAGAAAAAATTATATGTTTCACACGGCAGCAAATGTAGATTGACTATGAACTATCAGCCGCGGCAGTCAATCTACTACTTTGCTGCCTAATGAAACAAATTGTGTGTTTAGTGCTAACAAGAATATTGTTATAGTCTATTATTGTTCCATTTCTCTTTTGTAGTATGTGGAGAGCATAGTAGCATCTTACATGAAAATCCAAAAACTGAGCAATACAAAACAATACAAGAGCTGGTTTTCACGTGGTTGTTTCATGTTGCCTCTAAATATCCAACGCCTAGCCGAATGTCTCACTTGTGAGTTGGCGACAGGCGAAACCCTGACGAGGCGTTCTCTCGAAGTTTGGTTGCAAGGTTCCACCTTACTCGGGCAATTGCTACTTTTTGTCTCGATGTATCTCTTCAGTATTAGTCATAAAGAAAAGGGAGGGATAGCTAGCAGCGAAAGAATAGGTAAGTCGTATTCACATTTGAGATGATTATTATTGCTATGGTGGGCTCACTTTTCAATTGTTTCGTCAGACTAACTCTCTATACAGTCTGTCCAAGATAAGGTTGAACAGCATGGGGATCTCGGAAACGGTAGGAGATACGAAGTCGTTTAAATGGGGAAAAAGTTGCGCATTCGGAAGCTCATATCAAGAGTTTTCGAAAATTTCAAAAATTATTTTTCGTTTTTGAGTTATATCGAAAAAAGTGAATTTTTGGAATATCTATTTTATTTTTTTTTCTCTGTTTTTATTAGAGATACAGAATAACTGTAAATACTTTTTCATAGCAAGTTTTGATGACGTTTAACTTGGTGATACCGATTTTTTTATGCAATGCATGATACAAACAAATTGATGTGGAAGAATTACATCAGGAATCATTATGTGAGTAATGTTCAGAAGAAATGTACCAGAAGGATGATGATGTTTGAGAACAGAATGGAAAATTTCCCATCTGAAATGAATATATAGAAGCAATGAGGTTAGACTCAATCTGTTTATTTCATCAATGTCTTATGGATATTCTGCTCCAAACACAAAATATCAAGATGCTGGGATATTTAGAATTTTTTTTTATTGGAAAATAACTTGTAGGTATATGTACGAATGACAATACAAATATATTTTTTAATAAATTGAATATAATTATGAAGAATTATTGCAATTTTTATTCTACTAATTTGTTATCCTCTGATACCCTGTTTATTGTTGTACAGATGTATTGGCAGGTAAGTTTGAAAACACTATATATATTGTACCAAAGGTATATAGGTTAAATATATGTTTTGCTGAACAATGATTATTTTTTATAAAATCCTCTTATCCACTAACTTCACTAAATATGGGAAGATGTGTCTATAATTGCCACAAATTGAACCATAGGAATATTCAATACCAATATGTATAACTTTTTAATTTCCATAGGAATATTCAATACCATTATGTATAACGTTTTAATTTATATTATGTAATCATTTTGAATAAACTTCATTATTAATCTTCAGGTCGTGTTCCTTAAGGAAGGAGTTCCTCTTCAGCATCATATTCCAAACTACATTGATGAGTCTGAAACTATAAAAATATTTGATATCTATTTTGTCCCCAGTTTCAATGATCTGTACCATTCTGAAATGAATTTTATGACAATTGACTATGGAACAATTTTTAGAGGTCCCAAAGTCAAGGTCTTGGTAATTTTTGTACTGAAACTAATAGTTCCAGTCAACTAGAAACTAATAAGCTGATTGCTACAGAGTTTGTATAGGTAGGAACTTGTTAAATATCATTTTATTTATATATACCTTCCTTTAACAAACTTGGAACCGAACCCTCCTTCCAAAACCGTTTCCAATTCTACATTGGCAAGAAACAGTTCCCTTAAAATGTTGGAAACATACAATATCATGTTCGCTCACTTCAAAAACTCCCATTCCTGAAATATCAATGCATCAAGTTTCAAATATTATGCGATTCAAGAAAAAAATTTCACTGCAATCCAATGAATATGGCATAAACTCATTGATGCCTCAGGATTTGTGGCTCAAATTCACAACAGTGAGCATAGGGGAAACCAGGTCTTGATAATTTTACACCTCCACCTTCTGGAGTGCGAAGTTTTCAGATAACATTGCAAAATAACACAATCGCACTCACAAACCAATCAACAAACTGCAATAGAAAACCAATTCTAGAAGAAATAATTAGGAATAATTGTAATTTTCAAGAATACGAATTCAAAGTATAACATATTCACAAAGACGAAGTTATAAGTTAATGACAACTGTTAGAAAATAATTTTTTGATTATGACATCTCAATCTAATGAAAGAATCTTCTTCATCGCCTTTGTATCAAATATCACGTCAATGATGGAAAGCACATGTGGTTGAGTACATATTGGAAAAAAATAGAAGAAGAGAATATCAACCTAATATGGTCTATTTTGACATAAACGAAAATGAGCTCTTTCCATTTTCTCATCCCCAGCGCCACTTGACAGACAGACATATTTTGATAGAATGAACAGACAATATTATACCTCCTCGCACTAGGTCGCCTATTAGGTTTTAATTTAGATCGACATTGTTACTTCCTATTGAAAGGAGTTTCGAAATCTCTCGATATCGCCTACTTTGTAAAGATAGGGAGGCGTGGGAGAAACTTGCGAAATTTCCGAAGTTTCAAACCAAATTCACAGGCTTCATGACATTCTTGAGTTCACATTCTCATATCCACAATTTTTTGTCTAAATGGAAATGGTGCATTATATTTTCGACTTTCAGTGGTGAATTCATGAACGACACAAAGTCCTAACTCAAGAAAATCCTGTGATAATAGTTTATTGACTCACTTTTCGTACATAATATAAAACGAATGTTCGGATTTTCAAATAATCCTCACACATCGCAGCATGGTCAGTCCATGATGAAAGCACAATACACTCACTCAACTACCTAATATACTATCAATACCTGCTTAATCAACTACTAATAGTCTTATAAATTAACATTCATAAGAATTTGAAATATTTCTATTTGAAATTTGAACAAAATAGATTTGTCTCACGATCGACGGATCATGTAGATTGTAGATTGTAGATGGGTCGTATAGGCTGAGAGACCTCTCGATCACTGCGACCTAGAAGATCTATTGTGATTACCCCTATCTAGTTTTGGTCCTCTAACCCTAGACTTCTGATGAAGCCTACGATTTTCCTGACGGTTGACTTTTCCACTTCAGCAGGGGTGAGATAGACCTGTTCTAGGTGGTTCAGCCTTTGGCGGACTAATACTTCACATGAGCAAAGTATGTGTTCCGCGGTTTCGGTCGCATTGTTACAAAAGCGGCAAGTGTCAGTCTCCGCCAGACCCATCTTTTTGAGGTGGTACCTCAGAGGGCCGTGTCCTGTGAGAAAGCCTGTGATAAGCTTTAGCTCTGGTTTGCTGAGGCTGAGTAGCTCTTTGGCTCGGTTCTGCGAATGGCTGATGAACCTTTTCGCTTGTCGTTGACCTGGAGTTGCTCTCCAGTAGGAGGACTTTTCAATTTCTTCCCATTTCCCGAGTTCTCCCTTTAGGTGACATTTACTTATCCCACAAAAAGGCTCAGGACCAAAAAGTGCAGATGCTGCACCTTTTTTTGCAAGGCGATCAGCTGCCTCATTTCCTTTGATTCCATCATGCCCTGGAACCCACATAAGTGTGACTTTGTTGCCCTTTCCCAGTTGCATGAGTGTTTCAAAGCAGTCCCATGTAATCTTTGATGTGAAAACGAATGATTTTAGGGCTTTTAGTGCGGCTTGGCTGTCTGAGCAGATATATATGTTGGCACCCCTCAGACCTGTGCTCAGGCACCTTTGGGCGCAAAGGTTGATGGCATGTATTTCAGCTTGGAAGATAGTGGGGGAGTGACCTAAGGCTTCAAATAGCCTACATCCGGGTCCATATACACCCGCGCCTACCCCCTCTTCCATTTTCGAACCATCGGTGTACCAAACAAGGGAACCTCTATCCAGCTGAGGCTCAGCGGAACTGTACCTAGGGAGGCTTTTTATAACCACTTCAAAGGTATGATCGAAACTGAGCCTGGCTTGCATTATGTCCGATGGTTTGGTTGCAGATTCCATTTGTACTTCTTGTAGAATGACCATGTGACCAGTGACATCACCTGGTCTGGCCAATTCAGTGGAGTTCAGTCTGTATGCACTGAGAGCTGCAGTCCTCTTGATAAAAATATGCAAGGGTAGTAGGTCAAGCATAGCTTCCATTGCTGCAGTAGGGCACGTACGCATAGCCCCTGTGATCCCAAGACACGCGAGTCTCTGGATTTTTTGCAGCTTAAGTTGTGCTGTTTTTTCCTTACTTTTGGTCCACCACACTAGAGAAGCGTATGTGACCATGGGTCTGACCACCGTGAGATAAGACCAGTAGATCATATTTGGTTTAAGCATAAGACCCCACGTTTGGCCAAACATCTTTCGGCATATCCAGAGAGCTGAAATTGCCCTATTGACGATTTTGGTCAATTAATTCCACGTGAGTTTCTTGTCTAGGATTACTCCTAGATATTTGACCTCTTCGGAGAAATTGATAGGCGTCCCATCCATAATGGGTTCCTTTAACTTGATCTTCCTTCTTTTGGTGAATGGAACGATGACCGTTTTGCTTGGGTTGACCTTCAAGCCCTCCTGAAAGCACCAGTCTTTCAGCAAGTTGAGTGCAGTCTGCATTAGGTTTGATAAAATCTTATCTTGCTTGCCTCTTATTATTATGACAATGTCATCCGCATAGCCTTGAATATCGAAGCCAGCGGTGCTTAGTTTGTTGAGTAGGTTATCGACAACTATGGACCATAAAAGAGGAGACAGTACCCCTCCTTGGGGGCAACCCCTAGTGGCCTGTGCAGTTACCGAGCTGCTTCCCAGTGTAGCTTTTATTCTTCTACTCCTGAGCATGGATTATATCCAGCCTGTTGTTGGGGCCTCGAGCCCCTTGATGGTTGTGGCTCGCTCTATCGATTCATAGGAAGTGTTATCGAACGCTCCTTCTATGTCGATGAAAGCACACAGAGTAATTTCTTTATCTACCTGTGCCTTTTCAATCTTTCCCACCAGACTATGTGAGGCGGTCTCTGTAGATTTGCCTGATTGATAGGCAAATTGATTTTTGTGAAGCGGACTATTCGACAGAATTTTGCTTCTGATGTGTTGATCAAGTAGTTGCTCCATAGTTTTCTGGAGAAACGAAGTGAGGCTGATAGGTCTATAGGATTTGGGATGGTCACTGGGACGTTTACCCACCTTTGGAATAAAAACCACATTAACCTCTCTCCATGTTTGCGGAATGTGGCGCAAGAAGTAGCTGGCTCGAAATAATCGAACCAGTACGGGCAGTATCTCCTCGATTCCCTGTTGTAGGGCAGCCGGTATAATGCCGTCACCACCTGAAGATTTGTAGGGCTTAAATGT